CCTGACATCAGTGGTGGGGATGCTGCTGAAGAAGATACTGAGGGGGATAGGATCTATCTACATTTGAAAGAAAATGGGCTTATTAGTGATAGGCAGCATGGTTTTGTGCAGGGAAGGTCATGTCTTACCAACTTAATAGGATTCTTTGAGGAAGTGGCAAAGTTGATAAATGTGGATGTCATATACATGGACTTCAGTAAGGCGTTTGATAAGGTTTCCCATGGTAGGCTGATGGAGAAAGTGAAGTCGCATGGGGGCCAGGGTGTACTAACTAGATGGATAGAGAACTGGCTGGGCAACAGGAGACAGAGAGTTGTAGTGGAAGGGAGTTTCTCAAAATGGAGAACTGTGACCAGTGGTGTTCCACAGGGATCCGTGTTGGGACCACTGTTGTTTGTGATATACATAAATGATCTGGAGGAAGGTAGAGATGGTTTGATTAGCAAGTTTGCAGATGACACTAAGATTGGTGGAGTAGCAGATAGTGAAGGGGACTGTTGGAGAATGCAGCAGAATATAGATAGATTGGAGAGTTGGGCAGAGAAATGGCAGATGGAGTTCAATCCAGGCAAATGCGAGGTGATGCATTTTGGAAGATCCGATTCAAGAGCGAACTATACGGTAAATGGAAAAGCCCTGGGGAAAGTTGATGCACAGAGAGATCTGGGTGTTCAGGTCCATTGTACCCTGAAGGTGGCAACGCAGGTCGATCGAGTGGTCAAGAAGGCATACGGCATGCTTTCATTCTTCGGACAGGGTATGGAGTCCGAGAGTTGGCAGGTCATGTTGCAGTTGTATAGGACTTTGGTTCGACCACATTTGGAATACTGCTTACAGTTCCGGTCGCCACATTACCAAAAGGATGTGGATGCTTTGGAGAGGGTGCAGAGGAGGTTCACCAGGATGTTGCTTGGTATGGAGGGCGCTAGCTATGAAGAGAGGTTGAGTAGATTCGGATTATTTACATTTGAAAGACGGAGGTTAAGGGGGGACCTGATTGAGGTCTACAAAATCACAAGAGGTATAGGCAGGATGGATAGCAAGAAACTTTTTCCCAGAGTGGGGCACTCAGTTACTCGGCGTCACTATTTCAAGGTGAGAGGGGAACAGTTTAAGGGAGATATGCGTGGAAAGTTCTTTACGCAGAGGGTGGGGGGTGCCTGGAACGCGTTGCCAGCGGAGGTGGTAGAGGCGGGCACGAGAGCGTCATTAAAGATGTATCTAGACAGATACATGAATGGGCAGGGAGCAGAGGGTTACAGATCCTTGGAAAATAGGCGACAGGTTTAGATAGAGGATCTGGATCGGCACAGGCTTGGAGGGCCGAAGGGCCTGTTCCTGTGCTGTAATTTTCTTTGTTCTTTGTTAGCAAGGAGAGTTGGGACTAAGTGTCTGTTTCTGTGCTGTATAACTCAATGAATAAAGGTGGAAATTGCCAATTTTTGTGACCGTATATTTTTTATTTCTTCTTGAAGTATGGACTGAAAATTAGAAAAAATGGTCACTGCTTTATAATGGAGAGAAAGCATAAGGAGTCAAAAACTGGGTCAGAAGATGCCTACACGAACAACATCAGGAAGATACTACACGCCCTGACACACTCATCACACTACCCTACATCAGGAACACATCGGAACTAACCACAAGACTCCTACGACCGCTGGGCATCAGAGTTGCACACAAGCCCACATCAACCCTATGACAACTGCTCATCCGAACTGAAGACCCACTCCCTGCCATGGACACGACCAATGTCATCTATAAGATCCCCTGCAGAGACTGTGAGAAACACTACATCAGACAAACAGGAAGGAAACTAACAAGGGTACACGAATACCAATTGGCTACAAAAAGACATGACCAATACTCACTCATCTCAATCCACATGGATAAGGAGAACCACCAATTCGACTGGGACAACACCAAAATCCTGGGACAAGCTAAGCAGAGACAGGCACAGGAATTCCTAGAAGCCTGGCACTCCACAAAGAAAGTAATTAATAAACACGTATAACTCGACCCCATATACATTCCACTATGAAGGAAAACCGGAAGTGAGGCAATGCAGCTCAATGGACTCCAGAGTTTAAAAACCAGGCGGGAAAACACACCGACGCTTCATCAGAGGCTGCACTGATTATGTTACCCAGCACGGTAACGAAACGTCTGCGAAACAAGAAATCAGCTCGGCAAGCCAGCCAACCTCAACACCCACAACCCGAGCTACAAATCTACTCCAAAACCTTAGAGTTATTTTCAGCTTTGGAAAAATAAGTGAATCTAACTATCTCTGAATCTAACTGCTGCATAGGTGACGATGTTGGTTTTGGGGACACTGTACCCAGACAACAGAGCATCTCCTGGGCGTGTTCAGCACAACTCTGCCCAGAGACAGTCTTTTGATTAGCTTTTCAATTGACACCACTTGTGGATTCAGTTGAGTACGGCATAGCAGCTAGCCTCTGATTGGTCAGGTTGCAGTTTAACAAAAGATTCTGAGATAGGATTGAACCAAAGGGACTCCACTTCGGCCCAACAAGTCCACACTGACCCTTGGAGCATCCCACCCAGACCCATAGCCCTAACCCACCTAATCTATACATCCCTGAACGCTATGGGCAATTTAGCATGGCCAATCCACCTAATCTGCACATCTTTGGACTGTGGGAGGAAACCGGAGCACCCGGAGGAAACCCACACAGACACAGGGAGAATGTGCAAACTCCACACAGAGAGTTGCCCGAGGCTGGAATCAAACCCTAGTCCCTGGTGCTGTGAGGCAACAGTGCTAACCACTGAGCCACCTCAATCATTCTTTCTCTTCCCTTTCTCTGTATAGTCAATGTTTCCCTTGCTCTGAAAAATTGCCTTCTCCAACTGTCAAAAGAGCAGAGAAAAGGAACACATTTGGAAAATGAAAGAAATCATTCTAAAATGCGAAATAACAAGAAAGACCAAGAGTCCAACCAAGCATCAGTGAGCTACAGACAGTGAACACTGCTGTGCAGGTAACATTCAGGCATCATGGAAAAATTGCAGATGATGAAATAAACCCATCTGGTTTTGTGATTTTAGACCGGTGATAAAGATCTGATAAATAAGAAAGGAAAGATCAATTTGATCTTTGATGGGAATGTACTATAGGCCCCCCAATAGTAAGAGAGAAATTGAGAAACAACTATGTAGGGAGATCTCAGATATATGAAAGCATAATAAGGTTGTAATAATGGGGGATTTTAATTTTCCAAACATTAATTGGGACTGCCATAGTGTTAGAAGTGTGGATGGTGAAGGGGGAAAGGGCGCAGCCCCCCCTTCTTTGCTCAAAAGCAGCCTTTTTTATTCAGAATTTAAGCATACATTAACATTCTAACACTTGAGTGTTAAGCAGTAGATATTGGACAAAAACCGTTTTGCAGGAAATCGGAGATGGTTTAAACATTTGCTAAATGTTAGCGGTTATTGCTGAGTGTAAATGGTTATTTTAATGAGATTAGATTATCTGTCTGGTTTGTCCTTGCATAATTGAAAAGGCTTTAGTCTTGTTATTTTCAAGGTTAGAATTTTAAAGTTAGAAAAAGGCATCTTGTGTTTTTTTTAAATAAAAGTCTGAGTTCCCATCAGTTTTGGTTATCTGTGGTTTTTATTTACTATAGGTTGTTTAGTTAGTTTCATGGTTGCGTCCACCTGTGCGTTCTATTTACTATCATTCATTCATTTATTCAGTTTTGTGGTCACACCTGTTTGTAGTAGTGCTATCAGTTTCATTCATTCATTCATTCAAGGTTGCACAGGTCTGGACATAGTACTGTTAGTTTTATTAGTAGGTTAAAGGTTGCTTACATACACTGCATAGCGTTTTTTAGTTTTATTAGTGGGGTAAAGCTTTCTTGTATACATGTTGAATAAAAACTTCAGACAAGTCTGCAGGGAAATAACATTTTACTTTAAAGGAAGAGGGCTAATCCAATTATCACCTTTGAATGGTACTTGGAGCCACTCTAGCTAGGCTCGGTAATAGCACCTATTCACAGTCGGATTTTAATATCAAACAACACTACTTTTGGTGTGGGGTGCAAAAAGGTTTCATCCTGTAGTGTCTGTGCAGTTTTGTTAGTCGTCGCGCCTGACTTCACCTTTGAATAGAATGTCAGTCTTGTTAAATGGCATTGTTTACATAGCGCGTTATGCATGACTGGACTTTCAAGTGGAGTGTAACTACGAATTGAAGTGGTTGTAATCTGATATGGTAGAGAGTCCTGAATTAGTTTGAATGGGGGGTGGCTGGTACACGGAAAGCTGCAGTTAGTATTATAACCACGAGTTAATGGATTAATCAACATGATTTATGGAGTTATATTAAAAGTTGCTAATGAATTCTGATATATCACTAGCTAAAAGGAAAGGTTGGACATACTTGAAACAAGAACAGAAATTGCTAGAAAAGCTCAGCAGGTCTGACAGCATTTGTGAAGAAAAATCAGAGTTAACGTTTCGGGTCCGGTAACCATTCTTCAGAAAACCTCAGTTCTTCAGAACACTTCAGAAGGATGTGTCAGTGTAATCTTGGTAGGCTGAAGGGTGTTCCTGTGCTGTACTGTTCATTGAATGTGCAGATCGTCACTGGTGTGTATTCGATGCAGTGAGTATCATCTAAAAGACGCAAGTTTCCTTTGACAGAACCTTTCTAATCCATAACTCCTACTGCCAAGAAGGACAACAGCAGTAGATGTGTGGGACACCAGCTGTATGTTCCCTTCTAAGACATACGCCATCCTGTCCTGGAACTATATTGTCATTCCTTCACTATTGCTGAGTCAAAATCCTGGAACTCCCTTCCTTACAGCACATTGGATAGCCCTACACCCCGCGCAGTGAAGTAGTTCATAAAGCTGCTCACCAGCACCTCAAAGGCAATTAAGAGTAAGACTGAATTCTAGCAGTGCCCACATCCTGTGAATGAACTTTTAAAAGTTCCATATGCGGGGCATGATACTTACTCAGCTGTTTGTAATCCTCCAACAGGAAGCTCCACTTTCTCGTTTTCATATCTGAGCAAAAAAAATCAAATCAGCATTTCGACCGGACTCAAAAATAACTTTGCCTAAACGGCACATTGAGATTACAACAGAATCCTGATAAATTTAAAATGCAAAACAGAACTATTTCAAAGTGTTGACCAAATTGACCAAATCATTGTTACGGAAGAGGTAGTGTTGGGCAAGCTAATGGAGCTAAGGATTGATAAGTCTCCTGCCCCTGATGGAATGCATCCCAGGGTAATAAAAGAGATGGCGGGAGAAATAGCAGGTGCACTGGCAGTAATTTTCCAAAATTCGCTGGACTCTGGGGCAGTCCCAGCAGACTGGAAAACAGCAAATGTGACGCCACTGTTTAAAAAGGGAAGTAGACAAAAGATGGGGAATTATAGACCGGTTAGCTTAACCTCTGTAGTAGGGAAGATGCTTGAGTCTATTATCAAGGAAGAAATAGCAAGGCATCTTGATAGAAATTGTCCCGTTGGGCAGACGCAGCATGGGTTCATGAAGGGCAGGTCATGCTTGACAAATCTTTTGGAATTCTATGAAGACATTACGAGCAAGGTGGACAATGGGGACCCAGTGGATGTGGTGTACCTAGATTTCCAAAAGGCCTTCGACAAGGTGCCGCACAAGAGGCTACTGCATAAGATAAGGATGCATGGCATTAAGGGTAAAGTATTAGCATGGATAGAGGATTGGTTGACTGACAGGAAGCAAAGAGTGGGGATAAATGAGTGCTATTCTAGCTGGCAGTCAGTGACTAGTGGTGTGCCTCAGGGATTGGTGTTGGGACCGCAATTATTTACAATTTATATAGATGATTTGGAGTTGGGGACCACGTATAGGGTGTCAAAGTTTGCAGATGACACTAAGATGCGTGGTAGAGCAAAGTATGCAGACGACTGTGAAACTTTGCAGAGGAACATAGACACATTGAGTGAGTGGGCAAAGGACTGGCAGATGGAATACAATGTAAATAAATGTGAAGTCAGACATTTTGATAGGAGTAATAGTAAAAAGGATTATTACTTAAATGGTAAAAAGTTGCAGCATGCTGCTATGCAGAGGGACCTGGATGTCCTTGTGCATGAATCACAGAAGGTAGGTCTGCAGGTACAACAAGTAATTAGGAAGGCAAATGGAATTTTGTCCTTCATTGCTAAAGGGATTGAAATAAAAAGCAGAGAGGTTATGTTGCAGCTGTACAAGGTGCTGGTGAGGCCACACCTGGAGTACTGTGTGCAGTTTTGGTCTCCTTACTCGAGAAAGGATGTATTGGCACTGAAGGGGGTGCAAAGGAGGTTTACTAGGTTGATTCCGGAGTTGAGGGGGTTGGCTTATGAGGAGAGACTGAGTAGATTGGGATTATATTCATTGGAATTCAGAAGATTGAGGGGGGATGTTATAGAAACATATAAAATTATGAAGGGAATAGGTAAGATAGAAGTAGAGAGGATGTTTCCACTGGCAGGTGAAGCTAGGTCAAGAGGGCATAGCCTCAAGATTAGAGGGAGCAGATTTAGGACTGAATTGAGAAGGAATTTCTTCACTCAGAGGGTTGTTAATCTATGGAATTCCTTGCCCAGTGAAGTAGTTGACGCTACTTCAGTAAACATTTTTAAAAAAAAGGTAGATTTTTTTTGAACAATAAAGGAATTAAGGGATACGGTAAGAACGCGGGTAAGTGGATCTGAGTCCATGAAAAGATCAGCCATGATCTTATTGAATGGCGGAGCAGGCTCGAAGGGCCAGACGGCCTACTCCTGTTCCTAGTTCTTATGTTCTTAAATGAAAGGGGATGTCCAGTGTGACTGGGCTAGTAGATTGCAGAATGGTGGGAATGTCACTAAATTCGTATCTAAAGGCCCAGATAATGCTCTGGGTATACAGGTTCAAATCCCTACATGGCAGCTGGTGGAATTTAAGTTCAAGTAATAAATTGGGAATATAAAGCTAGGTTCAGTATGGTGATCAATGTAACTAACATCAATTGTTGTAAAACCTCATCTGGTACACATTAGGGAAGAAAATCGGCTGTCCTCACTTGGTCTGGCCTGGATGATTCCAGACCTACAGCAACATGGTTGACTCTTAACTGCTCAAGGGCAATTAAGAATGGATAACAAATGGTGGCCTAGCTAAAATGCCCACATCCTATGAGAGAATAAGAAAATAAATGAATGGGAGCAGATAGGACACAATTTCTTGGGGTTTAAAGTGATCAGTGAGAAAGGATTACTCACCATAATGCCTGGAGTTGGCCTGTTTGAAGATTTTCAGAACCTCTGCATGATAACCAATCTCAACTTCACAACGGGACCGTGACAGAAGTCTGAATTGTCCCTGTATCACAGCAGCCGGCTTCTTCCAGTTCTTTCCCAACATTGCCAGTTGGTTTACAGTTAGTGCGGAACAACGCTTTCTCCCAGTTTTTGGCAGTGAACTGGTAGCAATGGCCATCTCTGGTTCTGACATTCCATCTAGAGGCGTTAACGTGGTTCTTGGAACCAGTTTCACTCTCTCCACTGAAACACAGAGGGAGAGGTTTGGTACTCAAGACAGCCCAACATGACAGATATCACCTCGCAACTCTGAAAGTGCATCTCAGGAACACACCTCAGTTTGTAACATTTCATTCGACACTGTGTGCTATAGTCTGGTTACCACTTGCCTTCCCACCTATTTTTGTGTCATTCACAAACGTGGTTATAATATATTCACTTTCCTCATCCAAGTCATCAACATATATTATAAATAATTGTGGCCCTAGCACCGATTGCTGCTGCATCCACTAGTTACTGATTGCCATCCTGAAAAATCAACCCTTATACCAACTTTCTGTCTTCTATTATTTAGCCAATCTTTTGTCCATATCTTACTGAGTAGCCTACTGTCTGATACCATATCAAGTTCCTTCTGAAAATCTAAACATTAGATCCACTTCGCCTTTATCTATCCTGCTTGTCACCACCTCAAACAATTCTAATAAATCTGTCAGGTATGATTTTCCCTTCAATGAAGCCATGCTGACTCTGCTTGATCATATTACGTATTTCTAAACGTTCTGTTGTTACATCCCTTATAACAGACAAAAAAATTCCCAATTACAGATGTTCAGTTAATCTGTTTATAATCTGTTTATTTTTAATTAAATGTGGTACATTGGCAGATTTCCAATCCTCTGGGAATTTTTCAGGAGCTAAGGATTCCGAGAAGATTACTACCTGTACATCCACTATCTCCATAGCTACTTCCTTTAATATCCTAGGATGCATCTCATTAGGTTCAGGGGACATAGAACATAGAACAGTACTGGCGCTTTGGCCCAAGATGTTGCGCCGAACTTTTACCCGAATCCTAAGGTCTATCTAACCTCCAACCCTTATACTGTCATCCGTATGCCTATCTAATAGCCGCTTAAATGCCCCTAATGAGGCCGACTCCACTACCCTCTCCGGCAATGCATTCCACGCCCCGACCACCCTCTGACTAAAGAACCTAACTCTGACGTCTCCGCTATATCTACCTCCACTCACTTTAAAACTACGCCCCCTCGTAAGAGATACCTCCACCTTGGCAAAAGTCTCTGGCTGTCCACTCTATCTATACCTCTGATCATTTTGTACACCTCTATCATGTCACCTCTCATCCTTCATTGTTCTGAAGAGAAAAGCCCTAGCTCTCTCAACCTTTCCTCGTAAGACCTTCCCTCCATTTCAGGCAACATCCTGGTAAATCTCCTCTGCACCTTTTCCAACGCTTCCACATCTTTCCTGTAATGAGGCAACCAGAACTGGACATAATACTCCAGATGTGGCTGAACCAGGCTTTTGTATAGATGGAGCATAACTTCACGGCTCTTGAACTCAATCCCTCTATTAATGAAAGCTAACACACCATACGCCTCCTTAACAACTCTATCCACCTGGGTGGCAGCTTTCAGGGAACTGTGGACATGAACCTCAAGATCCCTCTGCTCCTCCACACTGCCAAGAATCTTTCCGTTAACCCTGTATTCTGCTTTCAAGTTTGTCCTTCCAAAATGAATCACCTCACACTTTTCAGGGTTAAACTCCACCTGCCACTTCTCAGCCCAGCTCTGCATCCTATCAATGTCCCTTTGTAACCAAGAACAGCCCTCTGCACTATCCACAGTGCGACCCACCTGCGTATCGTCCGCGAACTTACTAATCCACGCTTCCACTCCTTCATCCAATCATTTACAAAAATCAAAAATAGAAGAGGACCCAGAACAGATCCTTGTGGTACACCACTCACAACTGAGCACCATGTTGAATATTTTCCGTCCACTACCACCCTTTGTCTTCTGAGGGTCAGCCAATTCTGAATCCAATCTGCCACATTTCCCCCTATCCCATGCCTCCTTACCTTCTGCATGAGCCTGCCATGGGGAACCTTATCAAACGCCTTACTTAAGTCCATGTATACCACATCCACTGCTCTACCTTCATCCATGTGTTTGGTCACCTCTTCAAAGAATTCAATAAGGTTTGACAGACATGATCTACCCCTCACAAATCCATGCTGACTATCACGAATCAAACTGTGCCTTTTCAAGTGATTAGGAATCCTATCTCTCAGAGCCCTTTCCAATAATTTGCCCACCACTGACGTAAGACTAACTGGCCTGTAATTTCCAGGGTTATCCCTGTTCCCTTTTTTGAACAAGGGACTGACGTTTGCCTCCCTCCAATCTTCTGGCACTATACCCGTGGACAGTGAGGACGAAAAGATCATCGCCAAAGGCCCTGCGATCTCTTCCTTCGCTTCCCATAGAATCCTTGGATAAATCCCATCAGGCCCGGGGGACTTATCTATCTTCAAGTTCCTCAAAATTCCTAGCACATCTTCCTTACCAACAGCAACCTCCTCTAGCCGACCAGCCTGTTTCACACTGTCTTCCTCTACAACTGGGTCCCTCTGAGTTGTGAATACCGAAGAAAAGTATTCATTAAGGACCTCTCCTATCTCCTTAGGCTCTGTGCACAAATTCCCTTTACAATCCTTGATTGTACCAGTCTTTAACCCCAGTAGATTTCCTGAGCACCTTTTCTCTAGTGGCAATTATTGTAGTCATTCCCTCTCCTCCTTTTGCACGCTGAATATTTAACAACTTTGGAATGTTTTAGAGTCATACGTCTTGCAGCATAGAAACAGACTCTTTGGTCCAACTAGTCCACTTCGAACATGCTCCCAAACTCAACTAGTCCCACCTGCCTGCGCTTGGCCCATATCTCTCCAAACCCTTCCTTTTCATGTACTTATCCAGATGTCTTTTAAATGCTGTAACTGTACCTGTATCCTCCACTTTCTCTGGCAGTTCATTCCACACACAAACCACTCTCTGTGTAGAAAAGTTGCCCCTCATGTCCTTCTTAAATCTTTCCCCTCTCACCTTAAAAATATGCCCGGAAAAGCCGAAAAAAAACTGCAGATGCTGTAAATCAGAAACAAAAACAGAAATTGCTGAAAAAGCTCAGTAGGTCTGGCAGCATCCGTGAAGAGACATCAGAGCTAATGTATCAGGTCGAGTGACCCTTCCTCAGAACTCCCCCACTGGAGGGAAAAGACCCGTTGTCATTTCACCTTATCAATGCACCTATGATTTTATAAATCCCAATAAGGTCACGTTTCAACCTCCTACACTCCAGTGTATCTCAAACCCTCCATTCCCAGCAATATCCTGGTAAATCTTTTCTAAACCCTCTCCAGTGTAATAACATCCTCCCTATAATAGGGCAACATGTGAAGATTGACGTAGAGTATTTACTCAACTCCACTGTCAATTCCTGGTTCCCCATTATTTCCTTGAAGGGGCTTATGTTAATTTAGATCTTAGAAGTTTAAAGAAGCTCTTGCTGTCCTTCTTGATATTGTGAGTTTAGATTTAAGGTCTTTTTTTGGTCATCTTTTGTTGCTTTCAAAAATGTCCCAAATCTCTGGCTTACCACAATCTTTGCCACATTGAATGCTTTTTCTTTCAATTGGATGCTATTCTTAACCTCCCCTTTTTAGAATCCTTCTTCGTCATCTTTGCTGTGAGCCACAAACTATTTCTTAAACGACTGCTAATGTTCAATTGTCTTTGCTGCTAAACACTTTTCCCAGTCCATTCCATAATACCATAAGGCCACAAAAAGTGGAGCAGAATTAGATCATTCGGCCCATTAGAACACAGAACAGTACAGCACAGTACAGGTCCTCCACACCCTACATTTTACTGTCATCCATGTGCCTATCCAAGAGTTGCTTAAAAGTCTCTAAAGTATCTGACTCCACTACTATTGGAGTGTGGCAAATGTCATTCCCTTGCTCAAGAAAGGGAATAGGGATAATTCTAGAAATTACAGACCGGTCAGTCTTACTTCTGTGGTGGGCAAATTATTGGAGAGGATTCTGAGATAGTATGTATGATTATTTGGAAAAGCACAGTTTGATTAGAAATAGTCAGCATGGCCTTGTGAGGGGCAGGTCACGCCTCACAAGCTGTATTGAATTCTTTGAGGATGTGACAAAACGGATGTGGTGTATATGGATTTTAGCAAGGCATTTGATAAGGTTCCACGTGATAGGCTCATTGAGAAAGTAAGGAGACATGGGATTCAGGAAAATTTGGCTGTCTGTATACAAAACTGGCTGTCCAATAGAAGACAGAGGGTGGTAGTAGATGAAAAGTATTCAGCCTGGAGCTCGGTGACTACTGGTGTTCCGCAGGGATCTGTTCTGGTAGCTCTGCTCTTTGTGATCTTTAGAAATGACTTGGACGAGGAAGTGGAAGGGTGGGTTAGTAAGCTTGCTGATGACACGAAGATTGGTGGAGTTGTGGACAGCACGGACGGCTGTTGTAGGTTGCAACGGGACATTGACAGGATGCAGAGCTGGGCAAAGAAGTGGCAGATGGAATTCAACCCAGAAAAGTGTGAAGTGATTCATTTTGGAAGGTCAAATTTGAATGCAGAATACAGGATTAATGGCAGGATTCTCGGCAGTGTGGAGGAACAGAGGGATCTTGGGGTCCACGTCCATAGATCCCTCAAAGTTGCTACCCAAGTTAATAGGGTTGTAAAGAAGGCGTAAGGTGTGTTGGCTTTCATTGGCAGGGGAATTGAGTTTAAGGGCCGTGAGGTTATGCTGTGAGCTCTATAAAACTCTGGTTAGACCACACTTGGAATATTGTGTTCAGTTCTGGTCACCTCATTTTAGGAAAGATGTGGAAGCTTCAGAGACGGTGCAGAGGAGATTTACCAAGATGCTGCCTGGACTGGAGGGCAGGTCTTATGAGGAAAGGTTGAGGGAGCTAGGGCTTTTCTCATTGGAGAGAAGAAGGATGAGAAGTGACTTGATAGAGGGGATTACAAGATGATGAGAGGCATAGATAGAGTGGATAGTCAGAGACATTTTCCCAGGGCGGAAATGACTATTACGAGGGGGAATAATTTTAAGGTGATTGGAGGACGGTATAGGGGAGATGTCAAAGGTAGGTTCTTCACACAGAGAGTGGTGACCGTGTGGAATGCGCTGCCGGCAGTGGTAGTGGAGTCAGATTCTTTAGAGACTTTTAAGTGACTCTTGGATAGGCACTTGGAGGATAGTAAAATGTAGGGTATGCAGAGTAGATTGATCTTACGAAGATAATAGGTTGGCAGAACATCGTGGGCCAAAGGGCCTGTACTGTGCTGTACTGTTTTATGTTCTAATGATCCTCTGGATGTGGATGCTGGTGCGATGGTAGGTAAGGACGATGGGAACCCTATCACTGTTGTGGGAAGGAAGGTGGGGGCGGTGGGGGGGCGCGGCTGGTTGGTGAGGGCTGAAGTGCGGGAGATGGATTGAACTGTTATCACTGGACTGTTAATCTAGAGACCCAGATAGTGTTCTGGGGACCTGGGTTCAAATCCCACCATAGCAGATGGTGGAATTTGAATTCAAATTTTTAAAAAAGTGGAATTAAGAGTCTAATGATGACCATGAATCCACTGTCGATTGTCGGAAAAACCCATCTAGTTCACTAATGTCCTTTAGGGAAGGAAACTGTCATCCTTCTCTGGTCTGGACTACATATGACCCCCAAACCCACAGCAGTGTGGTTCAGTTTTAACTGCCCTGTGGGCAATTAGGGATGGACAATAAATGCTGACATAGTTAGCAATGCCCTCATCCCGTGAATGAATAAAATAAATGTTTCTGTACCCTTTCCACATCCTTCCAAAACTGCACATAATATTCCAAATATGGCCTACGTAAAGTTCTATACAGCTGCAACATGACTTGCTGATTTTTATAGTTACCGTTTGCATGTGATTCTCAGCACAGAAAAAGGCCCTCTGGCCCATCAAATCTTTGCCATTCAAAAACAACCACGTAACATTTCTAATGTCATTTTCCAGCACATGTCCATAGCCTTGTATGTTTGGCATTGCACACCTAAATACTTCTTAAATGCTTTGAGGGTTTCTGCCTCTACTACCCCTGCAGATGGTGAGTTCCAGATCCCATCACCCTCCAGGTAAAAGTGTTTTCCTCATGTGCCCTCTAAATCTCCTGTCCCTTAGCTCAAACGTTTGCCCCAGTCATTGAACCCCACGAAGGGGAAGTGCTCCTTCCTATTCTGCACTGTTTATACCCTTCAACTTCATACATCTCATACATCTCAACCATCTCCACACCCCCCCACCCCCCAACTCAGTCTCTTCTGCTCCAAGGAAAACAACTCCGGTCTATCCAAACTCTCCAGTCCAGACAACACCCTGGTAAAAAAAAACAGAAGTTGCTGGAAAAGTTCAGCAGGTCTGGCAGCATCTGTGAATTAAAAATCAGAGTTAACATTTCGGGTCTGGTGACCCTTCCTCAGAACACTCTAGTAAATCTCCTCTGCACCATTTCCAGTGCTGTCACATCCTTCCTGTAATGTGGATTCCAGAACTGGACACAATACTCTAGTTATGGACCAATCAATTTTTCATACAGTTCCAGCATTACCTTCCTGCTCTTAAACTCTATGCCTCAGCCAATAAAGGCAAGTTTCCCATATGTCTTCTTAATCACTTGATCAACCTGTCCTGCAACCTTAAGGAACCGGTGGACATCCTCAGTGCTTCCTAAGTTGCTACTGTTCATACCTTGCCTTGCTTGTTGTGCCCAAGTACTTCATCGCACGTTAATCTCGACTGAATTCCATTTGCCACTGATCAGCCCGCAGACATCCTCTTTTTTTGTTATTCATTCATGGGTTGTGGGTGTCACTGGTTGACCAGCATTTATTGCCCAAGTCTAGTTGCCCTTGAGAGTGCGGTGGCAAGCTATCTTAGGGAACTGCAGCAGTCCACATGCTGTAGGTTGACCCACAATGCCATCAGGGAGGAATTTCATGATTTTGACCCAGTGACAGTAAAAGAATGGTGATATATTTCCAAATCAGGATGGTGAGTGGCTTGGAGGGGAACTTGCAGATGGTCGTGTTCCCATGTATCTGCTGCCCTTGTCCTTCTAGATGGAAGTGGTCAAGGGTTTGGAAGGTGCTAGGAGAGGATCTTTAGTCTTTTTCTGTAGTACATCTTGTAGATGCACATTGCTGCAACTGTATGTCAGTGGAGGAGACAGTGGATGTTTGTGGATGTAGTGCCAATCAAGTAGACTGTTTGTCTTCGGTGGTGTCTAGCCTCTTGAGTGTTGCTGGTGCTGCACCCATCCAGGCAAGTGTGGTGTATTCCATCACACTCCTGACTTATGCCTTGTAATGGTGGACAGTGGTTTGGCCACTTTTGGAATACTGCGTTCAACTCTGGTCTCCGTGCTATAGGAAGGATGTTCTGAAACGTGAAAGGGCTCAGAAAAGATTTACAAGGATGTTGCCAGGGTTGGAGGGTTGAGCTATAGGGAGAGGCTGAATAAGCTGGGGCTATTTTCTCTGCAGCATCAGAGGCTGAGGGGTGACCTTATGGAAGTTTATAAATCATTAGGGACATGGATACAGTGAATAGCCAAGGTCTTTTCCCCAGGGTAGGGGAGTCCAAAACTAGAGGGCATAAGTTTAAGGTGAGAGGGAAAAGATGTATAGAGACCTGAGGGGCAACTTTTCACACAGAGGGTGGTGTGTGTATGGAATGAGCTGCCAGAGGAAGTGGTGGAGGCTGATACCATTACAACATTTAAAATGCAGCTGGATGAGTACATGAATAGAAAGGGCTTAGAGGGATGTAGGCCAAATACTGGCAAATGAGACTAGATTAATTTAGGATATCTGGTCGGCATGGACGAGTTAGACCAAAGGGTCTGTTTCCATGCTGTACAGCTTTATGACTCTATGACTGGCCTTGGTGAGTCAGGAATTGAGTCACTAACCACAGTATTCCGAGCCTCTAGCCTCTAGCTTCCTCTTGTAGCCACTGTGTTTATGCGGTTAGTTCAGTTGAGTTTCTGGTCAATGGTTGGGGGGATTCAGTCACGGTAACACCGTTGAATGTCAAGGAGCAGTGGTTCGATTGTCTCTTATTGGTGACTGTCATAACTTGGTATTTGTGTGGCGCAAATGTTACTTGTCACTTGTCAGCTGAAGCCTGGAAATTGCATCTGAACACGGACTGCTTCAGCATCTGATAAGTTGCGAATGGTGCTGAACATTACACAAGCATTAATAATTATCCCCACTTCTGAGCTTAGATGGAGGGAAGGCCATTTATGAAGCTGCTGAAGATAATTAGGCCTGGGACACTACCCTGACAAACTCCTGCAGAGTTGTCCTGGAGCTGAGATGACTAACCTCCAACAACCACGACCATCTTCCTACGTGGCAGTTATGAATCCAACCAACGGATAGTCTGTCCCCTGATGCCCATTGATTCTAGTTCTTCTGGGGCTCCATGATGCCACCCTAACCACCACCACCGCCACCGCCAACCGCCAACCTCCCCACCTCCCACACCCCCCCACTCCCCACCACGGTCAACTGTAGCCTTGATGTAAAGGGCTGTTGTTCTCATCTCACTTGCAATCCACAGGTATCCTCCTCACCATTTGCCACCCCACCAACTTTCATTTAATCCGTGATCTTAATGATCAACACTCCTACATTCAAGTCTTAATCATTTATATCTAACACAAACAGCGAGATCCCCAACACTGACCTCTATGAGACCCCAGTAGACACAGACTTCTAGTCAGCAAAACATCCCTCATCTATCATCTTCTGCTTCCTGCTGCTCAGCCAATTATGGATCCAACTAATCAAGTTTCCATGGGTCCCATGGGGTCTTACCTTCGCTATTAGTCTCCTATACAGGACCTTATCAAAAGCCCTGCTGAACTCCAAGTCGACTACGTTGAATGCATTGCCCTGATCTATATACCTGGTCGCCTCTTTGAAAACTCAAGTTGGTCACACATGACTTTCCCTAATAAATCATACCGACTGTTCTTGATTAATCTCCAAGTGAAGTGTAACAGGTGAGGCTTAATGGAAACATGTTTAGAAAGTCAGTACAGCAATCTGTTCATTTACAATAAAAATCTGGTTATGGCTGAACTCACTCAAGTGGTTGTAATCATCCAGGCTGAAGTTCCACATCTTGGTGGCTGTATCTGCAATCACAGAATGATAACAAAAGTGAGATGCAGTATTTATTTGATTATAAATCATTACACAACTGATAAAACCAATAGTAACAGCATCAATCCTCCAGTCAGGATAAAATGTGGATCCAAAGTGGAAACAAAAACTGACAGATACATTTGCCCCAAACAGGGGCGGCATGGTGGCTCAGTGGTTAGCCCTGCTGCCTCACAGCGCCAGGGACCCGGGTTTGATTCCACCCTCGGGCAACTGTCTGTGTGGAGTTTGCACATTCTCCCCACGTCTGCGTGGGTTTCCTCCGGGCGCTCCAGTTTCCTCCCACAGACCAAAGATGTGCAGGTTAGGTGGATTGGCCATGCTAAATCTCCAAAAGTGTTCAGGGATGTGTAGCTTAGGTGGGTTATAGGGGGATGGGTCTGGGCGAGATGCTCTCAGGGTCAGTGTGGACTTGTTGGGCTGAAGGGCCTGTTTCCACACTGTAGGGATTCTATGAAACAGTAAATATCATTGCTGTTCCTGTGGATACCTTTCTCCCTGATTTGGTCACTGGCTACATAGGGACCTGGTCACAACAGAACTGTTTAGAGGACTGCTGAGTATTTCCAGTCTTACTGATTATTAAATAACTAAACAGAAAAGCCTACACAGCAACCCTTGATGATCACATCAGCTTCCACTAACCACATTCTTCTAGCCACATATCCACTTTAGTAAAAGTTCCTGTACATAAACCATAGTTATCCAGACATGACTGCACAAAGCAAAGAGGGGACGTCTGCATTTAATACTGAAGTCTGGGAGGACGGCAGGGCATCGGGATCAGTTTTGGATTAATACAGGGCCATGGGGACAAAGTGGGGCAGTGTGATTAGCTATGGATTGATATAGAGTCTTGCAGAGGCAGTAGGGTTTTGGGATTAGGTACAGTATCAATCAACAAAACATGGGGGGGTCAGGACAGCTTGGAATTGATTGATGGCAATGGAGAGAGAGAGTGACAGTGGGATTCATTTGTCGATTGATACAAGGCTATGGTGAGAAAGTGGAACAGAAGGATCAGCTTCAGATTGATCTAGAACTATGCTTGTGAGGGGTAGATCATGCCACACAAACCTTATTGAATTCTTTGAAGAGGTGACCAAACATGTGGATGAAGATAGAGCAGTGGATGTGGTATACATGGATTTAAGTAAGGCGTTTGAGAAGGTCCCCCATGGTAGGCTCATGCAGAAAGTAAGGAGGCATGGGATAGGGGGAAATGTGGCAGATTGGATTCAGAATTGGCTGATCCTCAGAAGACAAAGGGTGGTAGTGGACGGAAAATATTCAACATGGTGCTCAGTTACGAGTGGTGTACCACAAGGATCTGTTCTGGGTCCTCTTCTATTTGTGATTTTCGTAAATGATTTGGATGAAGGAGTGCAAGGGTGGATTAGTAAGTTCACGGATGATATGAAGGTGGGTCGAGTTGTGGATAGTGGGGAGGGCTGTTCTAGGTTACAAAGGGACATTGATAGGATGCAGAGCTGGGCGGAGAAGTGGCAGGTGGAGTGTAACCCTGAAAAGTATGAGGTGATTCATTTTGGAAGGACAAATTTGAAAGCAGAATACAGAGTTAACGGAAAGATTCTTGGCCGTGTGGAGGAGCACAGGGATCTTGGGGTTCACGTCCACAGCTCCCACCCAGGTGGATAGAGTTGTTAAGAAGGCGTGTTAGCTTTCATTAATAGAGGGATTGAGTTCAAGAGCCGTGAAGTTATGCTCCAGCTATACAAAAGCCTGGTTCGGCCACATCTGGAGTATTGCGTCCAGTTCTGGTCGCCTCATTACAGGAAAGATGTGGAAGTGTTGGAAAAGGTGCAGAGGAGATTTACCAGGATGTTGCCTGGAATGGAGGAAAAGTCTTACAAGGAAAGGTTGAGAGAGCTAGGGCTTTTCTCTTTAGAACGACGAAGGATGAGAGGTGACTTGATACAGGTGTACAAAATGATCAGAGGTATAGACACAGTGGACAGCCAGAGACTTTTTCCTGGGGTGGAGGTAGCTATTACGAGGGGGCATAGTTTTAAAGTGAGTGGAGGTAGATAT